GCCCCAAGAATTTTCATTTGCTTTAGTGTTAGAAGAGTGGCCCTTTGACTATCATATCTTCAATCTGGTAAGAAGACCATCAACAGCTCTGTCTATTTAATTTATACACCATATATGGTCATGTGTCACTTAATAGCAGGAATACATTCTGAGAAATGTGCCATTAGGCAAATGTGTGGTTGTGAGACCATCATAGAGTGTACTTACACAAACCTAGATGGTAGAGCCTACTACACACCTAGGCTATATGCTATGACCTGTGGCTTATAGGCTACAAATCTGTTCAGTACTTACTCTACTGAATACCATAGGCAATCACAATAATAAATGTGTATTTAAACATTGCTAAACATAAAAAAGGTACAGTAGAAATATGGTACTGTGATCTTATGAGGCCACCATCATATATGTGGTCCTGTCATTGATCAAAACACCATTATGGTACATGACTGTACATATATATGCCTTGTGTCATATATTTATATGTAAGATATTTGTTTTTCATATAAAAATTCTGATTTTAATAGAAAGTTTAGAAAATATTGAAAATAAATTTTAAGTAGGGGAAAATTTAAATGGCCTGGAATTATACCACCCAGAACCAGCCACTGTAAACATTTTATCTTGGCTCAGTGTGGTTTTGTGTTCGTGCTGAGTATTGGTATGTTCCGAAGCATGTTATTGTGGCTCATGTTGTCATGTCTGGCTTCTGTCTCCCTGACCATTCCAGCCAATCTCGGGACCCCTGTGGCATCTTCTACCAGGTCACTCCTACATTTTCTCCTAGTCTTGTATGCTCTTTGGAAACAGGTCTGTATGTCTTCCTGTCTGCAAATGCCACCAGGTGGACACATCCCCAGGCACCTCACTCTCAGAATGCTCTGCACTTCATTCACATCCCTCCTAAGTGCAGATCATGCTCCTCCTCTGTCCACTTGCCTGCCATCTTCTCACTCATCATAGTCAAATCGCCTCACCTGACTCCCTTCACAACTAAAAACAGTCATTGCCCTGTCTTTCTCCTCTGGGACCACCGCTTTATATGGTCCCCAGTCACCTTAATTCTGCCCTTTAACACTTTCTGCTGAGCTGCTACCTCTTGCCCCCAGATCTTCTTCCTCAGAGCTCCTCCTCATGCAGTTCACATTTCCTGGAGGCTCAGGCTCTAGGGCCTGATGACTCAGGTTCTAACCCTGCCATTGTTCCTTGCTGGCTATGAGACTTTGGCCAGGTTATTGATGGTTCTGTATTCAGTTTATTTTTTCTTTATTTTACTTTAAGTTCTGGGATACATGTGTATAATGTGCAGGTTTGTTACATAAGTATACATGTGCCATGGTGGTTTGCTGCACCCATCAACCCATCATCTAGGTTTTCTGTATTCAGTTTTCACAACTCTAAAATGGAGTTAACCATAGCACCTACTGTAGAGCTCTTGAGATGGTTAAAATATGCAAAACATTGGAGTAGTTCCTAGAGCATCATGGTGCATAAAAACAGCATCACAGCACTTGCTGTGAGTCAGATATTATTACACTTAATTGGAAACTTCCACGTGTATGTCCTAATCCTGATTGAAATCCAAGCCATCTCTGATCTGAGTTGATGTTTCTCTCCTCTGAATTCCCAGTCATCTTTTCTCTGTACCCCTTCTAGGGAGCTTAGCGAATTTTACCTCCCTTTAGCAATTTTTATACTACTGTTTATACTACTGTTTATTATAAAAGTAGACTTGCTACCTGTTATTACAATATTTCTGCTTCTCCTATAAACACCCTGAGGGCAGAATCATTGCCTAATTAGTTGTGTAATCTACCACTTCCTTCGCTACATATGATGGCTTGGATGTGTAGACCTTTTCTGGTTTTATGGAGATAGAATCCACCTACAATACAATTCGGCCATTTAAAGCGTATAGGACAATGGCTTTTAGTGTATTCACAGAGTTGTGCAAGCATCACCATAATCAATTGTAGAATATCTTTTGGTTTGTTTGTTTGTTTTGAGATGGAGTTTTGCTCTTGTCACCCAGGCTGGAGTGCAGTGGCACTTTCTCGGCTCACTGCAACCTCTGCCTCCCAGGTTCAAGCAATTTTCCTGCCTCAGCCTCCCTAGTAGCTGGGATTATAGGCACCCACCACCATGCCCAGCTAATTTTTGTATTTTTAGTAGAGATGGGGTTTCACCATGTTGGCCAGGCTTGTCTCGAACTCCTGACCTCAGGTGATCCACCTACCTCAACCTCCCAAAGTGCTGGGATTACAGGCGTGAGCCACCGTGCCTGGCCAGAACACTTTTGATACTCCCAAAAGAAACACCATACCCTTTAGCTATCACCTTGGACTCTCCTCATTCCACCCAGTCCCAGACAACCACTGTTCCACTTGCTCTATGGATTTGCCCCTTCTGGACATTTCATATAAGTAGAATCACACAATATATAATCTTTGTGACTGGCTTCTTTCACTTAGCATCATATTTTCAAACTTCACCCATGTCATAGTGTATGTCAGTACTTCATTTTCTTTTATGGTAAAATACTATCCCATTGTATAAATATATTAGATTTTATTTATCCATTCATGAGTCGATGGATATTGTATTGTTTTGCTTGTATAGTTTCTACTTTTTGGCTATCATGGATCATGCTGCTGTGAATATTTGTGTGCAAGTTTTTACGAGAACATGTTTTCATTTCTCTTGGCTATAGGCCTAGGAGTGGAATTGCTTGGACCTGTGGTAACTCTATCTTTAACTGTGAGAGGAGCTCCAAACTGTTTTCCAAAGTGGCTGTACCATTTTACGTTCCCACCAGCTGTTTATCTAGTTTCTCCACATCCTGTGTATGGCAGATTTTAATAGGGAAAGAATAGAAAGAATAGTTCTTTAAGCTTGATTTTCTAGTTCAGTAGATGCTAAAAGAGGACTTTCTTCTAACACTTTAATTAACAGCAGATTCTATTAGAAAAATGTCCTTCATCCTCAAGGGATGTCTTGTCATACTGGGAAGACACTTTAAGAAGGAAAAAGGTAAGAAGATTAATCTGTATTCAAATAAAAATACAAAGCCTGAGGATTTTTTTTCCTAGTATTTTCATTACATCAATAGGGTTTTCTTAAGAAATGCAAATATGTATGATTTTGCCACAGATAAGGCAGTGTTATTTAAAGGTGGAGACAATGTACCAGATCCTGTACGAAAAGTGAAATTTTTGAGAGCAAAAAGAATTGGAGTGGGGTCAAGTAACTTAAGGAAAAATAAAAATCTATTGAAGTAAGCAAGAAAAGTGGGGGTAGAATAGAGTTGGCATACCAGGTAGGACATGGGGGCATCCGGTATGTCTGCAGGCCACTGGGGGAGGGTGGCGGGGGCTGGAAAGAGAGGCAGAGGCACTGCCCCTTCCTGTGTTATAACATGACCACATTTCTGGTGATGAGATAACACAATATAGGCAAGATGGAAAAATTCCTAATCCTGAAATAGTAGTGCTCAATTCATAAAGCACTTACCATGAATCAAACTCTGTACTAAGCACTTTATTTTTATTTATTTGTTTATTTTTGAGACAGGGTCTCTCTGTGCTGCCCAGGCTTGCATGCAGTGGTACAATCACAGCTCACTGCATCCTCGAACTCCCAGGCTCAAGTGATCCTTTCATCTCAGTCTACCAAGTAGCTAGGACTGCAGGCGTGTGTCACTATGCCTGGCTAATTTTTCATTTTTGTAGAGATGGGGTTTTCACCGTGTTGCCCAGGCTAGTCTTGAACTTCTGGGCTCAAGCTCTCCTCCCACCTCAGCCTCCTAGAGTGCTGAGATTACAGGCATGAGCCAAGGCGCCTGGACCTAAGCATTCTGTATACATTACCTCAGTTTAATCCTCCTATCAAGCCTATGGTTTAGGTACAATTGTCCTCACTTTGCAGATGGCGAATTAAAGGCACACGAAGGTTAAGAAATTGCTCAGATGACCACAGTGAATAAGTGTTGATGCTGAGCTTTGTGCCCTGGTGCCCGTGAGCCTCCCAGGTCCATGGTCTAAGCCACTGTGCCAGCATCCCTCCTGTCTATGTTTTCTTCACCTACAGTGTCTGAATACAACAATTAAAAACAATGAACCATCTTGTGATTTTAGCTTAATTGAAATCAATTTAAATAATTCGTCAAAGGCATGTGATTTAGTAACAGTTTTTAAATTAGCAGTGATGTAATGTAATATAATGTGCTAAGGGGTATATTGCAAGTTGAGGCAGAATGCGGGGATTTATAGACCATGTTATGAAGATTCCAGTTTGTGCAGAGGCAGGGAGAAGCACTCAGTTTTCATCTTTGGAATCCAGTGATCACATTTGTGCTTTGGAAATATCTCTCTCGTTGCAATGAGGGGTTTGTATTGGAGGGAATGGGAGATGAAGATCAATCAGGACTCTTACAATAGTTAAGGTGAGGAATGAGAAGGATCTGAACTAAGACCAGGGTGGTAGCAGTGGACAGAGGGACAGGTGCAAATCTAAGATAAAGGGGTCACCAGTTGGTTTCTGCGAATGGAGGCAAGACCAGAACCATGTAACTCTCCCAGGATTCTGAGAGGACCACAGGACAGTTAGAGATACAGTTCATCAGGATGGATTCTAATAAAATGGAATTTTATAATAATGAATATCGCTTCTCAAGAACAAAAATGTGTGCATTTTTTCCACTTTTCCATTTTGATTTTTCTTTACAATCCTCACTCTGTTTTCTTTGAGTCAAAGCCATTTTCGTCTTATCAGACATGACATTCTTTTTGCAGAAGCAATTCCAGCAGGTTTAATAGTTTAAACTTAATTTATGAAAAGTCTATTCATGCCCTTCTGGGTCATTTAAACAGGCAGCATCTTTTTGCAATTTCCTGGACCCATCGAGTTTGCCCAAGTGCTTACAAATGCACATTGTTCAAGATGATAAATGACTTAACTAGGAAATTGATAGCTAATTTGTTGAAAACCTCTTATGATTCCAGGCTGCTCTCGCAGGAGGCACCACCATGATTATTGATTTCGCCATTCCTCAGAAAGGTGGCTCCCTCATTGAGGCCTTCGAGACCTGGCGAAGCTGGGCTGATCCCAAAGTTTGCTGTGACTACAGCCTTCACGTGGCAGTGACGTGGTGGAGTGACCAGGTAAATCACCTGAATTTCAATGTGTTCCCATTGTCCTCTTGTCCTCACTGTGCACAAGAGCAAGAAACTGGTGATGTTGATTGCTTCCTAGATAACTGGAGGACAGAATTGGCAGGAAGACTTTTCATTGCATATTCTTTTGTATCTTTTGAATTTTTAATTCTGCAAAGTATTATCAATTTTAAAAACTAAATCAAAAAATCGTATAAAGACAATAGGATAAATCTTTTACACTCATTCATAACAGCTTCTCTTAATATTTAATTGATGAATCATCAATGCTTTAAGTGTAGTGTTTAATATACTGATTTCTCTTTTTCTTAAATTCAATATCCCCAGAATCTTTTAAACAGTATTTTCCCACAGGTTAGAACTTCAATAAAAAATGTTTAATTTCTCAAAAAAAAAATCAAGGAAATTCTAAATTTAGAATTCTCTAGAACTAGAAGCCTGCCTTCCCACTCATGAGCCTTCTTTAGAGAGGAAGGGACAGACCTGGACTGTTTCCAGAGTCTTCTCCTAGCGGTATCTTGACGGAGTGATCTTCCTGCTCTGCTAATGTTACTACCTGGTCAGACCATTTCATAATAGAGCTTAAAGCAACCTTCCATGCCCACTAATTGCCCAGGGCATGGCAGAAATAACATGATTTAGATAGAAAAGAAAGTTTGAGAGATGTTAAAATATGTTGATTTCCTCCCACATAAATTTGTGTGTGAATTTTGGAAGAAATTTTTACTTGAAATTTAAATTGCAACATGTTTTTCCACATTTCCCTTAATTCAGCAATCTTTTTACCAGAAAGAGTTCACCATTAGGACATAGTCTCACGTCCCCCACAAACTCGGGCTTTAGACCGCAAGTTAGTCAAAAACAAATATCAATCTTTAACAGGTAGTTCAGCAAACATAATAGCAAGGTTTATAGTCCACAGCTAAAGTTAGTTTTTCTTATGCCTTTTTAGTGATGCATCTGAACTCTTATGCTTTTAGGATCATCCCTCCTTCCCTTCCCTCCCCTCCCCTCCCCTCCCCTCCCTTCTCTTCTTCTTTTACCCCCCTCCCTCCCTGCCTCCCTTCCTCTCTTCCTTCTGTCTTCTTCTCTTTCCTCCCTCCCTTCCTTCCCTGTCTTCATTTTCCTATTCTCCTATTTTAAAGATGGAGCAAAGGTGTTTGTCCTTATCAGTGCTTCTCACACTTTAGTATGCAAAGAGTCACCTGGTAAACCTTGCTAAAATGCAGATTGCAGGTTCTGTTCAGGGGGGTTATTCGTTTGCTAGGGCTGCTGTAACCCTAGCAAACAGAATGTACGACAAACAGAATGGCTGAAACAACAGACATTGAGGGCCTCCCAGTTGTGGAGGCCAGAAGCCTGAGATTTAGGGGTCAGCAGAGTTGGTTCCACCTGAGGGCTCTGAGGGAGAACCTGTTCCGTTCCTCTCTCCTAACTTCTGGTAGTTTGCTGACAACCTTTGGCATTCCTTGTCTTGTCGAAGCATCACCCCAATCTCTGCCTTCATCTTCATATGATGTTCTCCCCGTGGCAGGTCTGCATCCCAGTTTCCACTTGATATAAGGGCACCAGTTACACTGAATAAAGCCCATGTGCTCATGTCCTCATCTTAACTAGTTACATCTGCACAGACTCTATTTCCAAACAAGGGGTTAGGACTTCAACATATGAATTTTGGGGTCACAAAAGTCAACCCATAGCAGTAGGTTAGGGGCAGATGGGACCCGAGATTCTGCATTTCTAGCAAGCAACCAGGTGACGCTGCTGCTGCTGGTTCAGGTGCCACACTTTTGGAGGAGCAAGGCTGAAGCTAATATCCTTGCAAGTTGTATAATGAGACTCTTGCATGGACGTGGATGGCAGGGATGATTAATGAGGGCTCTTCTACTCAGAGAGCAAAAGATATTTCATGTAAGCAGTGCAGATCATAATCCCCTTTGGAAGCCCATCATGTGAATATGCTAACAATGTTTTAAGCATTTTTTTTTCTGACTATAAAACTAATGTACTCATTGTAAAAAATTAGAAACTGTTGGGGGAAAAAAATGAGGTGCACTGTCCCATGTTCTGTCCCTCCCAATCTAACTTGGAGCACATTCCATTGCTTGTCCACTCTCAATATTTTGGTGCTTTTTTCTATATTAATTAAGTAGTAATTAATTTATTCAATAAATAGTTATTGAGTGGACACTATGCACCAGGCACTGTTCCAGGACACGTCAGTGGACAAGCCTCACAAGGCCCCTTCTCTCATGGGGCTGAAATCCTAGTGGGGGAGACGGGTGATCAGTCCTTACTGCTTTGCTGGGGGATAAGCACCATCAAGAAAAGGGAGGGACATTTCCAAGGGAATAAACAGTGATAGCAATGAGTAAATTCACGTGTAATATCATTCTTAAACTTTGCTGACTCAATAGAATTACACTGCTTTATTTTGCACTTTTTAGTTACTAGGAAGTTTATTTCTTGCATGTGTTATTAGTCATTTTATTACTCCACGAATGGTTGGCAACATTTTTCAACATGTTTTTCTTATCAAATTGAAAGAACTTTTATTAGCTAAGAGCAATAATTCTATGCTCGTTACGTTTTTCATTGTGTGTTTATGTGTGGGTGGGTGGGTGTGGGTGTGTTTTAACATATAGAAGTTCAAACAGTCTTATTTGGTCAAATCTATGAGTTTTTCCTTTCAAATTTTTGATCCTTATTGAGACTTGAATCTGACCTACAAAAGCAATTATTGAGGCCGGGTGCGGTGGCTCACGCCTGTAATTCCAGCACTTTGGGAGGCCAAGGTGGGCGGATCACTTGAGGTCAGGAATTCAAGACCAGCCTGGCAAACATGGCAAAACCCAATACCTACAAAAAATACAAAAATTAGCTGGGCATGGTGGTGCATGCCTGTAATCTCAGCTACTCAGGAGGCTGAGGCAGGAGAATCGCTTGAACCTGGGAGGAGAGGTTGCAGTGAACCAGGATTATGCCACTGCACTCCAGCCTAGGCAACACAGCAAGACTCTGTCTCAAAAAAAAAGAAAAGAAAAAAAGGAGCAATTATTGAGATAACTTTGATATTAACTTGCCCCTGACCCCTGGCAACCCTGAAGGCCTCTGAGCTTCCAACAGGTCCAGAGTCGAGTCTCCAGCTCTCACCTCCTAGGAGCTGCCAATGGGTCCCATGCCCGCCACGGCTGGCTCTACAGCTACACCCTGAGCTCGTGCTTTCTCGGGCATGCCTGGGTCCATCTGCATCTTCTACTCCCTCCTTCTAAGAACTCCACCCATGGCTTTCAGATTTGAACCTGAATCTTTACCTCACATTAAAGTTCATTGCTGCTGGATCCATGATTGCGTCTGTTGCTGCCAACCTGGCTTCAAGGTCATTTTCTAGAATAATTTTCTCGAATTGGGAGATAGATGCAGAGAATTTTATATCCAAGTACAGAAACAAAGTATTTTGGAAAAAGCTATTCACTTTTTCATGATTTAAAAGTATGAGAGCAGCAGCAGTTTATCAGATGAAATGGGGTATAACCTTGGAGAAAGATCAAAGCCTTGATTGCATTTTTGTGGAACTAAACTGTTGTCCTTATTTTACTTAGTTCTCTTCCAAATGCAACGTTTTAGAGAATGTTGAAATTATCATTTAAATTAGAGTAACATATTGTTGTTGTGGTTGCTGCTTCCTTTTAGGTTAAAGAAGAAATGAAAATCCTTGTGCAAGATAAAGGTGTTAACTCTTTCAAGATGTTTATGGCCTATAAAGATCTGTACATGGTGAGAGACCTGGAGCTGTACGCAGCCTTCTCTCAATGCAAGGAAATTGGAGCAATTGCCCAGGTCCATGCAGAAAATGGAGACTTAATTGCAGAGGTACGCATTTGCATTCCAAAGCTTCTACAGAAATGACAGCAGCCATAACTTAAGGTGAAGATGATTGGGACTACATAGGTAAACTCATTTAATGCATAGGAACATGAGAAATCCAGAAATGGATTTTCTGTGGCTCAGAAACGGATTTTCTGTGACTCAGAAACTCCCGACTCCATTTACTCGAGTCCCTGCTCTCAGCTTTATGCAGGTGGTATATGCACTAGAATGAGGACTTCCCCCTGCAAACTAGCTCTTAGATCTCAAACATGTGCTGTTATGAAAACACAAATACTTTTCTTTGTGTTCTCCAGCATAGTTTTGGCTTTGTTGTTTTTCAGAAGCTCAGGCTGCCGGTTCAGAATACCAAAGCGTGGACAACATCAGTGTCATCTGATGACTTAAGCAGTGTATTAGGTAGCTGTTTAAAGCCCTGCTCTTTTCAGAAACTGGATATTAAAATGTACTCTGGAAGAATCTAGATGATATTTATTTCTCATGTTAGTCCCATTATTAATGCCTGAAGGGTACACCGTCTGCAAGATTTAAAGAGCTGTCTCTTGCCCTTTATATTAGCTGGCTTTTTTTTTTTTAAACTCCCTAGGCTCAGCTCCCATTAAAGTGAGTGAGATAGAGGCTCAGTGGCCACAAGGCAGAGAGGAATAATGAGATGAGAGCATGAGCTGTAAAAACAAAACAAAACAAAACAAAAAACAGACCAGGGTTTAAATTGGACTCCTCTGCTTTATAGTTTCATGACATCAGGAAGTCTTTTTACCACTCTGAGTCTGGACTTCATGCCCTTTTTGTAAGGAAGAAATAACATTTTGAAGAAGAAAGAGAACAGGTCCAATACCATTTAGTGGGTTGGGTTGGGGAGCAAGTGAAGAGGATTATTCCATAAGAAAAGTAAAACTGATTACATAGTATGACAGGGAGTCACTTCAACAAGGATCCATAGTATTTTTATTTTGTTTGTCAGAATCAATATTAAATCTTAAATATAGATATTGCTTTTCAAAGATTGTGATTAGAAATAACTTCATATCTTTTTCACCTTTTATTTTTTAATTTCTTTTTATTTTTGTGGGATACCTAGTAGATGTATATATTTATGAGGTACATGAGATATTTTGATATAAGCTTGCAATGCATAAGAATCACACCATGGAAAATTGGGGATCCATCCCCTCAAGCATTTACCCTTTGTGTTACAAACAATCCAATTATACTCTTTTAGTTATTTTAAAAGGTGCAATTATTTTTTATTTTTTATTATTATTTTTTGAGATGGAGTCTCGCTCTATTGCCTAGGCTGGAGTGCAGTGGCATGATATCTGCTCACTGCCAGCTCTGCCTCCCAGGTTCACACCATTCTCCTGCCTCATCCTCCTGAGTAGCTGGGACTACGGGTGCCCGCCACCACGCTCAGCTACTTTTTTGTATTTTTAGTAGAGACGGGTTTTCACCATGTTAGCCAAGATGGTCGCAATCTCCTGACCTCGTGATCTGCCCACCTCCACCTCCAAAAGTGCTGGGATTACAGGTGTGAGCCATGCGCCCTGGCCAAAAGGTGCAGTTATTGATTATAGTGCCCCTGTTGTGTTATCAAGTACTAGATCTTATTCATTCTTTCTAACTTTTTTTTTTAAAAACACACGAACCATCCCCACCTTCCCCCTCTCCCCACAGCCATCCCTCCCCACTAACCTTCCCAGCCTCTGGTAACCATACTTCTATTCTGTATCTCCATGTGTTTAATTGTTTTAATTTTTAGATCCCACAAATAAGTGAGAACATGTGATGTTTGTGTTTCTGTGTCTGGCTTATTTCACGTACATAATGACCTCCAGTTCCATCCATGTTGTTGCAAATGACTGGATCTCATTCTTTTTATGGCAGAATAGTACTCCCTTGCATATATGTACCACATTTTCTTTATCTATTCATCTGTTGATTCCAAATCAGGTTCCAAATTCCAAATTAGATTGCTTCCAAATCTTGGCTGTAGTGAACAGTGCAGCAACAAACATGGCAATGCAGGTATATCTCTTCGATATACTGATCTCCTTTCTTTTGCATATATGTCCAGCAGTGGGATTGCTGGATCATATGGTAGGCTTTATTTTTAGTTTTTTGAAGAACTTCCAAACTATTCTCCATAGCAGTTTTACTAATTTACATTCCCACCAACAGTGTACATAGGTTCCCTTTTCTTCAATCCTTACCAGCAGTTGTTATTGCCTGTCTTTTTAATATAAGCCATTTTAACTGGGGTGAGATGATATTTCATTGTAGTTTTGATTTGCATTTCTCTGATGATCAGTGATATTGAGCACCTTTCCTATGCCTGTTTGCCATTTGTATGTCTTCTTTGGAGAAATCTCTATTCAAATCTTTTGCCCATTTTTAAATCAGATTATTAATTTTTTTCCTGTAGAGTTGTTTTAGTTTTGTATATATTCTGGTTATTAATCCCTTGTCAGATGGGTAGTTTGCAAATATTTTTTCCCATTTCATGGGTTGTTTCTTCACTTTGTTGATTGTTTCCTCTGCTATGCGGAAGCTTTTTAACTTGATGTGATGCCATTAGTCCATTTTTGCTTTGGTTGCCTGTGCTTGGTTTTTCCCCTTTTCAATAAAAAAAAGTGATGGTAAAATATGCATATGGAAAATTAACCTATATGATTAGAATATCAAATTTATTCTTACCAAATATACATGTTGTATATATACACCCACACAAACATGTTCACACACACACACACACACACACACACACACGCACACACACACCCCTATACCTAACAGATCAAAAGCCTGGCATTGCATTTAGTTTATGATAAAATAATGATATCTGTCATTAGTAAACCTTCCTTGCACATATGCACATTCCTGCTGTCTTTTTAGGGAGCAAAGAAGATGTTGGCTCTGGGGATAACAGGCCCTGAGGGTCACGAGTTGTGCCGCCCAGAGGCAGTGGAGGCAGAGGCCACGCTGAGAGCCATCACCATAGCCAGCGCTGTGAACTGTCCTCTCTACATTGTGCATGTGATGAGCAAGTCTGCAGCTAAGGTGATAGCGGATGCAAGGAGAGACGGTAATTCCTGAATGGAACCTCACTTAGAACTCAGTGTTAGCTGAAGAGGAAAGTCCATGTCTGTGGCCTCTGCTTCAGTTTAGAAGAGAGTGCATGTGGATTTTCACAACTTTTCTTCCTCCCTTTTTATTAGCCTCCTGGTTTCGTTTATCCTTATGTGTGTGTGTTTTCCCCCACTTTTGTTCATCTTCATCCTTGCCTCTCTACCTTCAGGTTTCCTTTGTTATTTCTTCTCCATCCTTGGGACCCCAGGACATTTCCTTTAGCCACATGCCCCCACACTCAATGCCACTAGCAGCCACTTTTAAATACGATAGTTAAATGCAAACCTCTCAGGTTTTTGTTTGTTTTTGTGATGAAGTCTCGCTTTGTCGCCCAGGCTGGAGTTCAGTGGCGTGATCTCGGCTCACTGCAACCTCCGCCTTCTGGGTTCAAGCGATTCTCCTGCCTCAGCCTCCTGAGTAGCTAGAATTACAGGTGAGCACCACCACACCCAGCTAAATTTTATATTTTTAGTAGAGGCGGGGTTTCACCATGTTGGCCAGGCTCGTCTCAAACTCCTGACCTCTAATCATCTGCCCGCCTTGGCCTCCCAAAGTGCTGGGATTACAGGTGTGAGCCACCATGCCTAGCCCTCTTTCATTAATTTTGAAGAAGCTTCCCTATCTCTTAGGCAGCTCCACTACCCTTCCCTCTACCTAAATCAGGGCAGTGCAAGGCACCTAGTACATGCTCAATAAATTTCTTTTGAATTGAATTGATTCATCTGACAGCCACTTGGGTGTTGGAGCAATTGAAGCAATTATCCAAATGGTGTTTTTATGATAGTTATTTTAAGATTTTAAAACCTAAGTTATTTTTACCCCAAATTGCCTAATTGCCTCAGTTCTCTAGTTCAGTCTAGCATGTAAATATTCATCTTAAAGGAAAGAGAAAATCTCCTATTTTTGATAAGCATTGGGCAAATAAATGATTTCATTCTTTTGCCAATACTGGTAGAGAAAGGACGAAAAACAAATAAGGTGCATTTTACTCAATGACTTTAGGCCCATGGTAGCTTCTGTCCTCTCAATTTTAGGAATACAGATAATCAGAGACAGTCTTATAATTCAACCTTGCTGCTTTTTTTTTTTTTTTTATTAAAACAGGCTGTATTTTTATAAGATTCATTATAAAAATAATGGGTCTCACTCTGTTGCCCAGGCTGGAGTGCAGTGGTAAAATCACGGCTCACTGCAGCCTCTAACTTCCAAGTGATCCTCCCATCTCAGTCTCCCAAGTAGCTGGGACCACAGGCATGCGCCACTATGCCCAGCTAATTTTTAAATTGTTCGTAGAGACAGGGTTTTGCCATGTTGCCCAGGTTAGTCTCGAACTCCTGGGCTCAAGCAATCCTCTCACCTTAGCCTCCCAAAATGTTGGGATTACAAGCATGACCCACCGCATGGTTTTGGCATGTATATAATTGATACCAAAATAAATTTTGTCAAAATTTCTTCTTGTTGCATTAAGGTTCAGTAATGATTTGTGCAAGCTGTGTGCACTTTTAAAATGTAATCCATCAATATTTTGTGTTAAGAGTAGGCTTATTTCACATAGGAGTTAATAATGTCTTATTAACCAACCATTTCTGATTGCTACTCTCGTATGTAAAAGAATTTCACCCCTTAAAAAAGAAAATATAAGTACTGCAATTTTAAAGTTATAGGTTTTTCCCACCAGATGGTGCTGTTGCCAACTCTATGAGATGAGTTGGTCTGTAATTATTTGCTTTGTTAAGTCGTGTACCGGGTTCGTAATGTCAGAATATTATTTAAGGAACAGTGAAATCAGCAGAAATTTTCACTTCTAACCCATCTTCAAGCTCCAATTTTGACAGTTCTGTCAGGAAGCAGTTTCTTGATCTTGGGTATTTGTTTTTCATTGAGATAGAATTCCATTAGGAGCAAAGTAAAAGTCTAGAGAGGGTTTTAGAATACAGATCATAGGCAGAAAGCTAGTAAATACAGACATTTTAATTTTATTGTAAATTATTTTAAAATTCAATATTATTTCTTGAATCTGTAAAACATTTGCATGGTCCAAGAGTCAAAATTATATCTAAAAATGTTCAATGAAGTTTTACTTGCCTTCTCTAGCTCCTTCTTCCCATACAGTATAAGTAATGATTTTTATTAATTTATTTCTGGCCTATCTTTACCATGTTTCTCTTTACCAAATAAGAATATAGTTCTTCTTTCCTACATAAAAGGTAGCATACTGTACACCTTGTCTACACATTGCTTTGTTTTCCACTTGAAAATATGTTCTGAAGGTCAGCCCACATTAGACACAGAAATTTTCCTCATTCTTTTTTGTAAGTACAGAGTATGCTACTGTATTTATTCAATGAGTCCCCTATGGATGGACATCTGGGTTGTTACTGATCTTTAGCTGTTTCAAGAGAAACCACAGTGATGACCTTTTGCATATGCCATTTCAATTTGTGAAAGACACATTCGTTCTGGAGGTCAGAAGCCTGAAATGGGTCTCACCAGGCTACAGTCAAGGTGTCTGCAGGGCTGCATCCCTTTCTGACGTCCTAGGAAGCCCTTGCCTTGCCAGCCCTTGTGAGGCCCATTGCATTACTTGGCTTGTGGCCCCTTCCTCCATCTTCAGCACCAGCCACAGTGGTTGAGACCTTCTCACATCACATTATTTTGACCTTTTTGCCTCTCTCTTTCACTTTAAGGGTGCCTTATATTAAGCCTACCTGATTAATTCAGGATAATTTCCCCCATTTCAAGGGCCTTAATTTAATCATATCTATTAATCCCTTTGCCGTGTAAAGTAACATATTCACAGGATATGGGGATTAAGATGTGGACATCTGTTGGGCTCCATCTTTCTGCCCACCACAAAATGGGTATCTTGAGGGTAGATTCCTAGAAGTGGGATTGCTGGTTCAAATTGCATATGTAATTTTTGGGACATTGCTCATATTTTCCCCAAGGAATTATAAACACGAAATATTTAAAATACCACCCTAAACATTGTAGTTGAGTCAGACTTACTGTGACAGTATAATACTTGTGAAAATACCCTCATGCGCAATTGTCAAAGAGGCGACATTGCTTCATAATAAACTAGTTTGAAAGATTCCCTACCCCATGCATGTGACCAAGGCACGGGATCAAGCAGAGGCCCAAAGAGGAAGGGGTGGACATAAACTGTGCCCAGCTGTTCACATGGTGACTGCATCAGCAAACCAAAGGACAGATCCCTGCGGGTACAGTGGGACAAGAGCTGTTGGACCACACTGACCTCTTACAGAAGATGCATCTACCCTGTCTGCACTCATTTATTATCTCACATCATTTCTAAATGTAAAAGAGCAAGATAGATGTAAATAAGAAATCGTTCGGTTTTACACATTTATACTATGAAAATCTCCCATCTGTAAATACCATTGCCAGCCCATTCTTTTTTGTTTTTTATTTATTTTTATTATTTTTTTTGAGACAGAGTCTCACTTTGTCACCAGGCTGGAGTGCAGTGGCGTGATCTTGGCTCACTGCAACCTCCACCTCCCAGGTTCATGCGCTTCTCCTGCCTCAGCCTCTCGAGTAGGTGGGATTACAGGCTCCCACTACTATGCCCAGCTGATTTTTTTGTATGTTCAGTAGAGACAGGGTTTCACCATGTTGGCCAGACTGGTCGAGGTGGCTCATGCCTGTAACCTCAGCACTTCGGGAGGCCGAGGCGGGTGGATCACCTGACGTCAGGAGCCCATTCTATCTTCAAGGGCCTTGACTCTCACAGTATGGTCCCTAGAGTGCAGCCTCCACACTGCCTGGGAGCTCCTTGGACACTCAGAGCCTTGGGGCCCATCCAGATTCCCTGAATCAGAAAGTGCACTTATAACTAGAACCCCAGGTGATTCATATGGATATGAAAGCCTGAGAATCACGGCTCCAGGAGGCACAAAGGAGATCCAATTATTGATTGCTTCATTGTGGTAGCCTAGAAATACAATGCTATTAAATTTGATTTTATTGTTCAATCGCCAGCTCTATACCCAGAAGAGCGGGATAGTAATGATAACAACTAACAGCTTGCTGAGTGCTTAATATGTGCCTGGCACATAGTAGTATTTTAATCTCTTTTATCTCATTTCAGGTTTTACTATATTCTTATCTTATCAGTGTGTTTTAATACACATTGTCTTTTTAAAAATTGTCATAATAGTGCCTCATGCTCAATTTTACCACTCTTTTGTGATTGATGAAATTGAGGCTTGGGAGAGATTGGTGAATTGAGCCAAAGATCACTTTATTAGTAAGTGCTAAACTTGGAATTCAAGTCCAAGTCTATGTGTCCCCAAAGACCAAACTTTTTCTGTCACTCTCCACTCTGTTAAAGGAGAAATTGATCTGAAGTTGGGAAGACCTGGATATCAAGTTTGTATTTAATGGGCTTGGGGTTTATTTATTTATTTTTAGAGAGAGGGTCTCTCTGTCACCCAGGCTGGAGTGCAGTAGCACAATCTTAGCTAACTGCGGCCTCAAGTTCCTGTGCTCAGATGATCCTCCCAACCTCAGCATCCCAAGTAGCCGCAACTACTCATGTATGCCACCACACCCAGCCAATTTTTAAAATTTTTTGTAGAAATGAAGTCTCCCTTTGTTGTTCAAGCTGGTCCTGGCCTCAGGTGATCTTCCTGCCTCAGCTTCCCACAGCACTGGGATTACAGGAGTGAGCCACCACACCTTGCTGGTTTTGGTGTTTTAAAATTTGTAATTGTAATTGGTTTTTGGTTTTTGGCATTACATTTAAATTTCTTATTTAAGACATTATCATCATTTCGCTATCTTTATCATTAAAAGATTAATTTTGGGGGCGGAAATGATGAAGTATTAAATGGAAAGTAAATATCTTCTGTCTCTCTCAGCTCATTCTTTAGAGCCAGTGATTTTAAACTTATCTATCTTTAGTTTTTGGTGGTTACCTCTAAAATCCTA